GGGGTATTTAAAACCAAAACGTACAAATTATTGACTCAGAAATATTATTGGCCCAAAATGAAGTCAGATGTAGCTAATTTTTTTAGGCGTTGTCCAAAATGTAACTATTGCTGTCAAGCCTGAACAAAAACCACGGGCGGGTGTAATGTTAAGCTCCCAAGTTACTGTTTCCAAACCTTTCGAGTTAACTGGTGCAGATCTCTTTAGCACTTTGCCAAAAAAAACTTCTGGATATTCTCATATTTTATTTCTAGTTTGTTGTTTGACAAAATTTTCTCTTATTTTCCCGTTAAGAACTGCCACTGCTTCGGCGATTTGTCGTTGTTTGGAGGATTATGTAATTTTAATGTTTAAGTGTCCGAGAACTATCATAGTGGAATCAACAGAGTTATGAAGAGCATGTCGATGGCTACTATTTCAAAAAATCATCGCCTGTGGGATAAACATTTGAACCGTATTGGTGCAGCAATTCGTGGAACAGTTCATGAGGTTACTGGTTATACCCCAAATTATTTATGGTCTATGGTCCGAAGCTGCCTTGTACAAATGAAAATCTCGATAATGTTGGACCTATTCTTTTCGATAGAGCTACTCCAATGGAAAATCGTTCTAAATCTTTGGGTCAAATTTTCTCGGACGTTAAAAAGAAGCTTTTTAGAGCTTATGAGGTAAATAAGAAGGTTACGAGTAGACGATGAATGTAGCCTGATTTAAATCTTCACTACATACCGTGGAACAAATAAAATGCATAGATTGTCATTTCGTATTAAGACTGCCCCATCTGAATTTAACCGAATTATCGATCAGGGTCTTAACGACTTACCAAAAACACTTCCATTATTTCGACGACGAAATAATCCATATGGACTCACATTAAAGATATGATATGCACAGATTACAGGACCTGATATTTCCTTTGTTGTGAATAATGTAACCTGATTTACCCATAAACCTAATATGTGGTTGAACGAATTTTCGGATATTTTAAAGGAATGATGTTCATACGAGTTTGATAGCTCAAAAAATAGAAGGAGGAAAATTATTGGATATGCTGATGCAGACTGTGCAGGCGATGTTGTCAAAATAAAAACCACAACTGATGTTTTCCTAGAAAATTAAACGGCGATTTCGTAAGCCGCTAAACAACAAACCACATTTGCTTTATCTGCGACAAAGAGCGAGTAATCGCTTTGTCGATGGCCGCTCAAGAAGCCTTATTAGGACCTAGAAAGAAGAGGCAATTCAGTAGAAAATAATGGTGCTGCTTACCATGTTCGTTTTAAACATATCGACGTGAGACACAATTATTCAAGGGAGTAAATTGAAGAAAAAAAAATTGAAGTTGAATGTTTCTTCAACAACTGTGTTCTGAGGGTGGAAAACACCGTACATTATATGGAGATAACTGTGCAAGCAATCGTATGACATAATAACAGGTAAGATGGCGAATTACAACAAAATAGCCCAAGTGAACACACATCACGCTAGGGGAGCACCTGCTGCTATAGCGCGGTTGTTCATGTCGGCACACTTGGAAGCCGTATCAATCCAAGAACCTTGGATATATAAGGAGCAGATCAAAGGTTTACCAAGTAAAGGGGCAAAATTAATCTGGGACAGTCGGTGTAACGAGCCTAGAGCATGCATTCTTCTGAAAGAGAACATTAATCATTTATGTCTTCTAGAATTTACGTCGCGGGACTTGGTCACCGTTCGGGGAAAACTTATCACCGACCAACCACACCGCAACCTAGTACTGGCATCAGGCTTCTTCGCTGGAGATGGGCAAGCACCACGAGAAGAAGTACATAAACTAGTCGAGTACTGCAACAGGAGCAAACTACCACACCTAAATGGTTGTGACGCAAACGCCCACAGCACCATTATGGGGAAGTTAACAAATCTAAGAAGTGAGCAACTGTTAGAATTTATCTTTCAAACAAACCTAAATATACAAATTGTAGGGAATACACCAACATTTGTTACTAGGGTCAGACAGGAAGTGTTAGAAAACACTTTGTAGTCCAAATATTGACTAAATGATCAGGAATTGGAGAGTCTCCAATGAACCCTCTCTCTCTGGTCAAAGAATCATAATGTTTAACGTAAAAGGAGTGCAGGAACGAACTACCTCATATAGGAACCCCAGAAATAAGAACTGGGAAAATACAGAACTAAACTGCAATGCAACCTCGAACAAAATCATTCTAGCTGCAAGAATATACGTAAAGTAGAAGAAACCCTTCAAATCCCTAACGGAGCAATCATGGAGGCATACGAATCCAGCTGTTCCGTAAAAGACCAAGTAACCAAAAATGGTTGCCCATGGTGGAACAGTCACCTATCACGACTTAGATTCGAGATTCGTTGGCTTTTCAACAAAGCCAAACGAGGCGGAGAATAGCAGGGCTACACCGAGAGGCTGACTGAGTACAACAAAGAAATCAGGAAGGCCAAGCGAAAAAACTTCAGGAGACTTCTGTGAATCTATTACAGAAACACCATCAGCAGCCAGATTATACAAAACCCTGGCGAAAGAACCATTGACACCTAAGAAACCAGACGGTAGTTACACAAAAAATGAAGAGCAACGAGCTGCTCTATTACTGGAAACTCACATTCCGCAGGAAGCACACCCAATGATACTGAAGAAAGCAAAATGCCGGCCCAGGAAAACCAGGCAAGAAAACTGGGAGGTTGCCAAAAACCTTTGCACTCCTCAGCGGCTTACTTGGGCGATCGACTCGTTCCAACCGTTCAAGTCGCCTGGAGTTGACGGTACCTTTCCAGCCCTGCTGCAAAAAGGGTAAAATGAAATCATGCCGTATCTGATCGAACTCATCAGGTACAGCTTAGCGACCGGATACATACCCAGTCAATGGAGAAGAGCTAAAGTAACTTTCATCCCAAAGGCAGGGAAAAGAGATGCCACTCTTCCGAAGTCGTTTAGACCTATATGCCTCACGTCCTTCTTGCTGAGAAAGTTGTAAATAACTACATTAGAACAAGTGTTTTAGAAAAGACGCCACTACATCCTGGGCAGCATGCTTACAGAGCGGACAGATCAACGGAAACAGCTTTACTTGAACTCACTAGTCACTGACAGCATCTAAAGCACATTGCATAATAAAGAAGTAGCCATCTGCGCCTTCCTGGACATAGAGGCAGCATTTGATAACACCTCTCGTGAGTCAATAAAGAATGCGCTCGTCAAAAAAGGAGTGGACAAAACCACATCAACCTGGATGTGCGAAACTCTAGCCACCAGAACTACAGAAACTGACGTAAGTAAACAGACCATATAGGTCACCACCACTAGAGAATGTCCTCAGAGAGGAGTACTCTCACCTTTGATGTGGAGTCTAGTGGTTGATGGCCTAAATATACTGACCGATCAGGGCTTCACCTACTTTGGATACGCCGATGATATTGCCATGATGGCCAGAAGCAAATACGAAGGAATAATCTACGACCTTATAGAAAAAGCACTTTGAACCACGAAGCAATGGTGTCAGACAGTGGGGCTGCATCTAAACTCAGCAAAAACCACACTGGTAACATTCACAAAAAGAACGAAACTCCCAAACCTGAGAAACCTTCGCCTCGATGGAAGCAGACTTGACTGGAAAAAAGAAGTTAAATTCCTAGGAATAACCCTAGATTCTAAACTTCTCTGGAACCGATATGTAGAGAACACAAAAAACAAAGCAATTTTGGATGGTCTGCAAAAACATTGCATAGGATTGTAACCCGTCAGTCTTAAGATGGATGTATACCATGATAGTGAAACCTATCATCACCTACGGAGCGGTAGCCTGGTATAACCGAACCGAGTTAGTAACAGCTAGGAAAAGTACAAAGACTCGCGTGTCTCTGTATAATAGGAGCAATGAGATCATGCCCAACCGCGGCACCAGAATTCATTCTAGACCTCACACCACTCCACATAATAGTGAAGCGGGTTGCCAGTGGATCAACTCTCAGACTGGAGAAGATAGGTCTACAAAGGGAGATGCACCTTGGCAGAACTTTTCCACTCCCAAACTGTGCACACACATGGATCTACCAAAAGACGTGATTGTTGATAAATTATAAATTCAGTTTCGAGAAAAACTTTTCCATCGAACTATGTACAAATAACAGATGGAACATGGAATCTATCCAATTCCTTTAAGCAAACACCATCAAATGGTACACAGACAGATCCAAAACTGCTGAGGAAACTGGAGCCGGAGTATTCGGGCCACGGACCACATACTCGGAGCCAATGGGGAAATCACCAAACATATATTATATATCTACATATCAAAATTATCATTATTAAGTATGTTGATGAGCAGATGAGCAAGGTGCAGATTCTTTGACTAGGACTAGGGCCGTTGACAAGACAAAAACCATGATGTGTGTAAAGAAGCAAGAGTTAGTTTATTTTAATTAGACGGGCTGGTTAAAATAATGTTTATTAGAAGTTTTCTCAATAAACGTCTGACATCTAATAAGAAATGTAATTATTGTCATCCTCTTTGTCCTAATTCTGCTTTCCAAAAGTTTTCACCCTACCTATAATTCATTTGGCACTGACATGTTTCCAAGGTTTAGGTTTTCTGAAACCGATATTTAAATAATGGCTGAGAGATGAGGGACAATGTAGTGTGGACAATACATAGGCATGGGATTTCTGAACAAAATAATTGAATATGATAGGACACTTGTATGTCACTTGAAACAACAAAAAGAAATGAATGCATATATGATACAGAAATAGAACGGATAGAAATAAAATCGCTCAAGTGGATGAGGATGGAAGATTGCTTTAAAGAAATCCATATTGATGAAGGGAACGAGTTCTGTGAAAATTTCGCACTCGAGCTGATTCAACTATGAAAGGTAGAAAATCAGAGCGCCATTTTTTCTGTTCCTGAATTTCGCGGGGAAAATGTCCAATTACGAGTAACTCTAATTATATTCGCCTATAATGATTATATTGATTTTTCACTTACTTCTTAGTAATCTCCGTGCTGGAGAAGCTTGAGGCGGCCCACTGGCTTTACTAGGACCCTCTTCCTTATTGTTAGACGACTTGAAGAGCCTTCGAAAAACTGCTGTAACTTTGTCTTTGGGGCGGATATTCATTGTGCTTATTGTTTTGAATTTGTGCTTTGAAGTAACTACAATAATTGTCTTCCTTATGCTATAGCTCAACTGCTACTAGCCGCCAGTGGTTTCGTTTTACCTGTAAATGAAAGAGATAAAATAAAACTAAATATATTTGAGGAAAAAGTAAAAAATAAAACAATGTTTTGCCTTGTCGAAGATTTCATTTCCGGTTGCAACGTAAATTTCGCGTTTATTTTCGTAAAAATCAACTCTGACACATAAACGAATGTCCTCACTTCTATGTACTACTCCAAGAAAAGGGGGACACAAAAACAATTTCAGGTTAAATTCGCATTGACGTAACATTTACCCTTGGGGTATCTAGTTGATCAATGAGCCCTTCTTTCCCACTGTTTCCGTTTTATGTGTTTCTCTTTTTGGCGTCACGTTTTGCTATACTAACATTTCGACTCGGAAACTTTTAAGACGTTTTCGGTAATAAGTTCGTCAATTAGAGATCTTGTCAGGCCGATTATAAACACAGTTTTTTTTTGGTTAATGCTTATATAAACCCAATGAACTGAATTTGAAAAGAATTTTTGAAGTTGGGTAAGTAAACTGTTATAAAATTCTAAAACACATAGGAGACAAATTTTAGGCATTACCTACTTTATTAACCAAAGTATTTGAACCATTAACCAGCCCGAAACGTTACAGTAGAAGTTGGAAACTTACACCTCATAAATTTACCAACCCCTTCATACGCCTACATGCATACAATTTGAGATACTTTAATGCTTTTGTATTTGCATTATTATATCGCGTCCCACATTCCACTTTAACTTCAAATATATGGCGGTTAGAAAGCGAAATCAAAATGCCCAAGGAAGCGGTATGGGGGAGAATTTATGGACAAAAGACTGGGGTTGGTGAAATGAATTTATTTTCCCAACATATTCGGGAAAGGAAAAATGCATATTTCATGATATTGAAGTAATGGAAACGGACATTGTTTTTTCAAGTTTCCCAAAAATAAATTATTTTTCGTGTTTTGTGAAATGAAAATAATGGAACATACAATTATATTAGTGGGAGCAGAAACTCACGTTTCACTTGGTATGGTTGTCAAAAAGCTTTAGGTATACATATACCTAGTAATATATGCTTGGTCATACACGTTATTTCACTAAAAAATAACTATAGGGATTCCAAAAGTCCTACTCTGATCTTTCAGGATTTTTGCTCGTTCGGGTAAAAGGTTCCAACAAACCTAATTTTTAAAATTTATATTCCGCTCATTTGCCGTGAATTCCTGTGTAAAGTCTTTAGCATTTTCATCATTAAGGAAGTTGTGGAGTGGATTTCGCCTCTTGTATTTCTCTCTCCATAAGATACACTGTAGTGGCTGTGGTAACTTTTCCCTATTTTGGCAATGAAATCACGTCAGACTTAGTAGGATAAATCTAATTAGGTAGGTACTCCTATATAATGGGTTTCGTGCAAGATGTTCAGATGAAAATAATCCAAACCGATTTATTTGCACAGACATAATAAAATAGCTTTAGAAACAACATACATATAAAATACATAATCCATTTTTCTTTAAGAAAAGAAAATTGCCTCACGTTATTGGACATTTTCTCATGAATACGTAGGTATATCCCAGGGATATCGCTTCTCTAAATTGATATGTTCGTATCGGATAAATTGCACAATTTTCAACAAAAAGTAGGTATACCCTACATCTACTTATGTAGGTAGGTCTTTAACCTCAAAAATCGATTAATTTATTGAAATTCTATGTTATAATATTCAACGTTTGCCATAGAATGAAAACATAGGTATTTATTTAATTGTAAATTGAGTTGATCCTATTGCTGTTGAAATGTGCTGACTATTCGCAAATAGTAATTAAAACTGAGATTAAAGTAAAGATGTTCTGAGTGGGTAATTCCAGAAACTTCCCTAGAAAATCCCAAATAATAATTGGCTTTCGACATTAATTGAAGTTGTTACGTAAGTAGTTGTTAAAGTGATTCTATTTTATTTATTTTTTTTGCGTAGGATTTATATCATTTGCTGCGAATTTCCTTTTAAGGATGCTGTCCTGGAACGACAGCTTGTAGCATGCCAAATGTTAGGTACTGTTTTTCTTTTTTCCATATAATATTTTATAAAAATTACCTATCGCCTTGAATACAGACAGTCTGGTGACTGCCATTATTAAAAGAACCCAAAAGTAGGTTTCTGTCGAAAATATTAGTAGCAATTATTAACCTAGAGGGCACGCTTTCCGTTTAAATTTGATGGTACCAACACTCTCCGTTGTTTTTTTTTTTTTGAAGGGAAGCTCTGCTTGTTCAGCTTGTCCTTTTCATCGTCCCTCTTAAATTTCGCCGTTGGTCCTGAAAGGTCCACTCTGGCCTGGGGGCAGCCATCTTCCTCAACTGTGATTACCGTTCTCGTGAAGAAAAGTACCTTATCGGCCATCAGGCATTAGTTTGACGAAATAAAGGGTGGTATGAGTAAAAACGAAGTACTTGCTACTATAGTAGTAGTATATTCTACGAAGTATTTACTTCACAAAGAAAGATTTACTAATTTCCGGTAGTTTCGAAATGTAGTATCTACTTCATTTTAAAGTAAATACTACGGAGAATATACTAATATTTGTAGTAGCAGCAGATATTTCGTTTTTATTCATACCACCCAAATGTTGCGCAAGGCAAAGTTCCGTTGATTACCGGAAAAATTTAAAACAAAAGTTTCGTGATTACCGTTTTATTCCAGTTTGAAATTACGAACCCCCTCGTGGTAAGTCCTTTTTAATTTTTTGTTGTTCATGGAATGCCTCTATTACTTAAGGTTTTCGGAAGAGCAGTTTCTCCCAGGGAATCCATTTTCAACAATCCCACATTTCTAAAAATCACCATTTCCGTGGAGCGCGACATAGAGCTTTAGAAGGGATTGCCTAGAGGAATCAAGTTCCTCACGTGTCGACATCATCCACATTTGACGGAGAAAACTGAACTTCTAGCCTCTATCTACCATGATTCAAGACTAGAATCTGCAACTTCCATTTGCAACTTCCCTCGTCAAGTGACAGAAAATGGATGGCTGCCGTACTCTAACGTTTTCGTTGGAATTGAGGCTTGCATAGAGTTTAATTTATAACCTTTTTTATGAAATCTACTTTATGATCAATTACCATAATTGATCAAATTTTTACTGACATTATATTTAAATATTTAAAATTTCAATTTCACATTCTTGACACCTAAGTGAAATTTAAATAATTATTTCCGATTTTTGATTTATCGTATTTGCTATAGATTTTATCTCTACTTAACTTTTAGTATCGCCATATTTAAAGAATGTACTTATATTTCAAGGTTGGACAACATGTCTAAATTTACAGTATCTACATCGTCAAAAATTGATCAATTTTCAACCCTGGATCCTCATATATTTGAGGATTTCTATTATATCTCCTGACCATTTAACCCAACCTTTGATTTCATACAGGTGCATTTGATTTTACTGAATTTATTCTTTTTTTTTCTACAATTTTCAAACATCCATTTTTTTTAAAATTAGTCTTCTGGAAACTTAAATCTTTTATATTTTCATTTCATGATAATGATATGGCCAGCGACTGCCAATGAGCTTATATGGCAAGTATATTGAGGTACATTGTAATATTATTTTTATTTGAAATTTGCTTGAGTGTTTTATTGGTTTTACCTATGTCAAGATTTGGTTGAGTTATATGCCTTATTTATTTCCTTTTCAGAATAATTATCAATAACCGTTTGCTGATTATTTTTTTTAGGTGTGTTTCTGAATTTTCACACTTCAATATTTTATGTATTTAATTTAATTATTTATCTACAAGCGTTTGGTTATGACGTTTTCACATAACCATTTTTCTAGTATTTCAGTTACGTCATTAGACTCATAACACAACCAGTGGTGTTATAGAGTAGGTTATGAATTCATAACCTAATGGAGACTCTGTCTTCATCTCACTTGTATCAAACACAGTTCCGGGATGGAACCAAAAATGGGTTGTGTTTTCTCTCTGCGGGACCTAACCGTGCTGATGAGCTGTGGCTGTGATACAGCGAAACGCGTCGACGGATGGTCCTGCAGAGAGAAAACACTTCTCAATCGGTCCTTAATTGGGCAGTTACCTAATTAAAACAACTAGTGGTGTTATGGACGAGGTTCTGAGTCTATACCACAACTATTTTTGGTGATTTGACAAATGTCAAAGGTAAACCTGTGAAGGTAAAATGAAGGTAGACAGCTACCAATGAACGAAAATAATTGGAAAAATATTCTTATTTTTCGCTTTGTAGATAAAACGTTGTACATCACACGTCCGTTTAAACATGGCTATAAAACTCGTGTGATTAGAACGACTCGGTTTACGACCGCGTCGTTCTAATCCTCCACACTCGTTATTGTAATCATGCTCATAAACGCACTTGTAATGTAAATAACTATAATTTTTTTAAATTCAGTGGCGCCCTTGCCATTCTGTACTTATGAAACTCCTAATAATTATTCGCTGAGTAAACTTAGCATATTATGGGCCTCCTGTTAATTTGTTAACAAAAGGGGTATGGTTAATAATATAATTAATGTGATCAAAAAACGTACCTAACGTAATGGTAAATATATTCTTATTATCATTTTGTAACGTACTACCTTTTTTTCAGTTTTTTTTTTTCAACTCTTTACACTTACCTGTGACTTTGGTTGGGAAAAGAAGGAAGTTTATGGAAAGAAAAGCTGTGCAAACCCTCTGTGGTGATCTATACAGTTCAAAGAAAAAACCGAAGGTTCCAGTTTCAAAGATATGCCAGATATCGAAGAATTTGAGATTGGGAAGGCCGTTAACGACCTGAACAACAAATAATCAGAAGAAGTGACAACTGAAATTCTGAAAGAATTTAATGAAATCAACATTGAAATGGCTATTTAACATATGTCTGAAGGAGAAATTCTTCGCTATTGTGGAAATACCAGAG